TTATGAGTTTTAAAATTAATTAAATTTATATATAATAAATTAACCAATTAAATTAATGATCTCAATAGATCCAATGTTTCCCATAGATCTATTGAACTTTTTCAATAAACCAACATCCATTGGATCCATTGGCTATTGGTTTATTGAATCCATTGGCCATTAGGCCAATCCTGTCTTGATATACTCGAATGGATGTGAGAGCAAATGACAGGAAAGTTTGAAATAAAGGAAGAAATCCTAAAGTGGAAATACCGTAGAAAGATAGGAGAGAATTCTGAAAATAATTTCAAGATAAAAGGAAAGAAAAAGGATACAGACGAAGAGGGAACTATATGGGATCGGTAAGGAAAAAAAAGATTATATGAAAGCAATTAAGATCAAAATTACTGCGGAAGAGAATTTCTTTTCCAGTTTTCTTAAACTACCAGGTTGTGTATCAATTGACGTTTGAGTGTATCTCAAAAAACGTTACCTCTGTTCTGAAGTCAAAAAGGAAGGGTCGCTTAAATTCTTCTTAAAAAGTGTGGTCTCGACACTAAAGCTGACATGCCATATGATGAAATGTGAAGAATCTTTTCAAAGGCAAAAAAAGACACTTTTCCTTTAACTGCAAGAAAAATGCGAGAAGTAGCTAATTATTGTATTATAGATGCACTACATTACTAGAAGCTTTTGGTAAAGCTAAGACAAATAAATGATTACAGAGAAGTCACTTCCATAGCTCATGTATCTTTGTTCGACTCACACTATCATGCAAATGAAATGAAGGTACGAAACCTTCTGAACACTTATGCTTTTAAACGTGATATGGTATTTAGCTCAAGAGTATGTGAAATATAGAAAAAGGAAAATATCCTGGCATATACGTTTTTCCATCTGAAAAGGGGATTGAATCAAGAAGACCTGTAACAGGATTAAACTTTGCCTCATTATATCCCAGTCTCATTATGGCTTACAATCTCTCTCCAGATAAAATAATACTAATACATGAAGAGGCTGATATTGCGGAAAAAAATGGAACCATTTTATATAAAATTGAGTTTCCATTCAATTATCACACTGTTCAAGCTTGAAGTGTAAGACATGATAATCAATTCAAAATGAAGGGCTTATTTCCTGTTGTATTAGAGGATTTATTCGATACAAGAGTAGAGCTTAAAGCACATCTTGTTCTACTAAGAAAGAAAAAGCTATAACTTAGAAAATTGATTAGTTCTGCTTAAAGATGGTACAGCAATTGATTTCAAATTTACAAAATGTTGCAACATAAGCTAAAATTAGTTGCAATATATGTTG